TCTCTGATTCACTTTTAGAGAGTATATATATATATATATATATATATATATATATACATACATAATCCTAAAAGTAATGAGACTAATTTTGGCGTCTCAATCAGAATTGTCGGAGGGTGGATCCATTGGACGGAGCCTTTGGTACAGGATGTCAGGTATATAGTCTGACCCTTTCCCGTTACCTCCAAGCCTTGCTAACAGCCGATACCGTCAATAAAGTGCGTTGTAACTTTTTGTGTCTTGTCACGGGTGAAAATTCAGCAGTCTCGAGCAGCGATCGAATTCTGCGTGAAACTGAAAAAATTTGATTTCGGAACATTGGAGATGTTGAGAACAACTTATGGAAATACTGCTTTGTCTTCAGAATTTGATCGTAAAGTTGCTCAAAATACAGCACACAGTTGTACTGAATTTTTGCCCGTGACAAGACACAGAAATTACAAACGCACTTTGCTGACGGTATCGACTGCTAAAAAGGATCAGATGCAACTGAGAAGGGTCAAACCTGACATCTTGCATCTAAGGCCTGACCATGGATCCATTCCCCACAATTCTGATTGAGCCCCAAAAAAATAGTCTCATTACTTTTGGGACAGACCATGTGTATTATATATATGTATATATATATATATATATATATATATATATATATAATTATCCTATTATATTATACTACAATAATGTATAATTATAATTATTATTTCACTGCAATTACATTGTCGGTTTATTATCAATAAGTTATGTTTAAAAAAATTAGAAAATAATGTATCGTATATATCGATAAATTATAAAATAATGTATCGTATAAACACGTATATATTCGAATAATAATTTTCTCTAAACATATATATATAATAAAAGTTGTATCTTTTGCAGGTAGAAGCCTACGGAATATTGAAAAACAAGATGGAGACTAACGGCTTCATAGAAAGATTGCCATTATCAAATACAGCTCGTCAACCTCCTAAGTTAGACGACGAAAACGAAAGTGTTAGAACAAGAAGATTTATTCGTACGGGATCCGAGAACAAGGTCGAAGAAAAAGTTTTAAACGAGGCGGAAGACATGATGGCACAAGATTCTAAGGTTTTCAGACCGCTCTTCGTCTACAGACAGCAAGTGGCTGCCAGGGAAAAACGGAAGCACGCGAGGAATCTAGCACATAGGAATCACCGGCATGCGACGCATCAACCTTGCTATCATCAACACGTGACCTACTGATCTTATCAACAAGATCGTGAATATTAAGCGAGGCAGTAGTGTCGCGAGGTGCGCAAAAAGGAAGACAGGCCATGTGATTATTTCACATATTTTTTATTCTGCAGAGGCAATTAGATTTCGTTTATATTAGACAGCCACTTTTCATTTCTCAGATAACAAGTGTATAAAGAAAAATTGTCTAAAGAAATCTTACTCTTTTAGATCTTCTTAAATTATTTTTATAAATCTTTTAGACCTTTTACAGTAAAATTTTATCTTTGCAAAAAATTTTCATTTTATCAAATGTATGAATTGTTTAAAAAATGTTTAGAGCTCTAATTTCATGTATTATTGAATTTTTACATACAGTTCTTAAATAAATACATTCAAATATAATAATACAAATGCTTGCAAAACATTACTATAAGAGTAAAATCGCATAAGTATTTGAAACGATTTTATTAGTAATATGGTTCGCATTTATGCATTAGGTTAAAACCATGACCTTAATCTTTAAGCGCGATACCAAAAAGTATTATACAAATTAGTATTTTAATCTTAGATAATAATTAATATTGTGACTTGAATTAAATTAGTTTGTTCATTCTAGATCGACAAACTCGTTTGTGTAGAACTTATGCATTTTAAATGTATTGCTACATTTTATAGTGCTTTATTAAATCAATAAAATTTGAATTTGATGTAGGTATTTTCTTGTTTACTTCTTTTAAATACTTCTTTTTATGTAATAACTTGAAACTCATTAATTAAATATTTTACTTAATAAAATATTTATAATATTTAACTTGATAATATTTTACTTAATCAAAGTGAAAATAGGTTATATAAATCTGTTAAAAAAAATCAATTAATGTCAAAATTTTAATCGTGTGAAGTTGTAATTTTGGTCTTTAATCATCGATGACAAGCTTGTTAGTTGACAGTTGTATATTAAACAAACAATAAATTGCACGTGTTATAATTTCGTTTGGTAATAATAATAATCGTTATATTTTCAAATTATAACAGATAAAACTTAATTATGATATTTTTTAAAAATATGTATTACAAAAGTATTTTGAAATAATTATACCAATATTTCAATCATTATTTAACAATATAGGCTAGATTCCAAAATATATTTGTATAAAGTTAAAAAGCGATCACATTGAGCATAAAAAAGTACAGAAGATAATTTACCAAGAAATGTAAAATTAAGACATCAATCACGTAAGTAAAACGTTTTCTTAATTTATTAATTACTACTGTTTAATTTATGCATTAACTTTCATTCCACATTTTTACGTATCTATATACATAAAGTGCAAATACGCGCGCTTACATTTATTAAATTTAGATACTAAAGTCGATCGTTATTAAACTTGTTATTAGACATAAGAATTTATTTTATATTTTATGTCTAAGATATAATTAACTTGTACATTTTATTTTCATATCAGTATGTATAGCAGAATATGGACTCTGTCGGAACTAAACAAAATTATCTCTGTAATTGTCATACACGTACTCGACTTATTATTGTTTCTCGTATTGTTGCCATTCATGACTTGGGAGTGGATTTCCGATAGACCATATATAATAACAATTGTGAGAACAATCATTGAGGTTTGATTATTTTAATTATCAAAAAAATCAAATTATACTTAAAGCATATCTAATTTTCAGATTTTTAAAAAAATATTTTCGATGTTTCTATATTCATTATTTTATTTATCTATAATATAATATATATTTTTTACTTCATTAAAACTTATTATTTTTTCGCAGGTTATGTTTGAGCTGATTATGTGGATTATCTTTGCTGGTGTATCAATACTTACGACTGTGATTTTTGTATTTGATGATCTATATTGCAGTAAAACTCAGTGTGATAATCGAAAAAAAGATTTACATATCGCGCTACATGATAATAACGATAAAAATTCTCACATAGTAAAATCTTCAAATTTTAAAACAGAAGAACTTTAAAATATATATTTTTAAAAATCTAATTGTTTTAAATTTTGATTAAAACGAAAGCCTTTTTTTTATTTACAACCAATTAAAATTCTTTTTCTGGACGCACCTCGTATTATTGTTATTCTTTTTAATAATCAATTCGCGTTAAGTGCTTAGATTTAGCTGTGTGAATTGTTTACAACTGGTATTTATTTCTTTATGAATATAAATAAATACATTTTATTATAAATTTTAATATGTTTCCTTCAATTTACATTTTATATAAAAAGTTCACTTAGAAACAATTTTTATATTTTTTGTTACGGATAAATTAGGAAAATTTATTTATCTCCAAATTCGCAGTATTTATCTCGATATGTTTTATGACACGCATTAACATATGTATTATCCTGTATATCAGTATCTTGAGCCTCGTTATTCACTTCCTCGTTGCTTAACCCCTATTAGAGAGCTTCCTTCATAACTCTCTGAGTTCCATCTTCATACCACCCTTACTATCTACTCTCTTATTATTCATGTTTCCCATCTCATTACATAATGCCTGTGCTACTCTCTTTCTGTACAATTTGTTATCGATCTCTTGTTATCGACAGTGTAATATCAATCAAACGTCCAAAAAGAATAACGGGAAAAAAAATGTATGAGATGAGAGGATTATTCATTCTTCAAATTGAAGAATCTGTCAGTTAAAGTCGCATTATTGTAATTCTTTCCCAATTGTACTACTGATAATAAATAAGCATTTATATTGAAAAATGATAAAAATTATATTATACTTTTTTTTTGTCGGACACACACCAAACACATATATACATACACCATATAAAATATTATACGATAGGATAATGTTAAATTATTTTTTTATATTATTCAAAACATAGATACAGATCAGTTATTCAAAAATATCTTATTTAAAATCATATATCTTGCGTATTAAATAAGTATTATGTTCTGCAATGTTACACAATACTGAACAAAGTTTTCAAAATTTTTTCAATTTCGTGCACACAATAATACCAAGAAGATATTCTAAACCTATCACGTCAATTGTAGATAGTATATAGTATACATGTGAGTGACATAATGTGTCATATCACTCGTGCGAATAACGGTCATCCGTCAATTAAAGATTAAGTAATCAAACGTTGACTTAAATGGTTGCTGCGTGATATTTGTGAATAAAAAAACGTGACATCTGTGACTATATAAAGTGTCATATAGGTTTTCATATTTCCCTTGAGATTTTTCGTCTAATTTGAAGTTTTTAATATTCGTTTCTAAATATCTTTAAAAAAATAAAAGTTAATCTTGAGCTGTAAAAATTAATTCTAGAGTAAAATTTTGTTATTTCGATCAAACTAGAAATACAAAACTAGAAACAAAAATTGCGTCGTACCTATATATGTAAAATATTTAGCGTGTCTATAAACTATGATGATTAGGCTTTCTAAATCTCAGATTGATAATTCAACTTTTATCACAATTTATTATAAGAAAAATTTTATAAAATAAAATTTTTAACAAAAAGATATATTTTTCAAATATTGATAAACTATAAAATCCTTCGAGTGATACATTGATCGCGGCTATAGCTAACGTTAAACGGCCGTAGTAGTTACGGTACGTTTCTCTGAGTCAGAGCATCGATTAGACTTGCGTGGCGGAAAACATGAGTAGATGAATTTAATCGGCGACTTTTGAGCCAGCGTGTTTCAGCCATAATCTACAAGAAGTAGACCCGACGCGGTACACTCGCTCCGATAATCTGTCATATATGCCCCACTCATTCCGTGCTGCCGGCGAATACGAGCCGGGAGTTCATCGCTTCATTATATGACGCCGTACTGCAGTCCCGATAAAACCTTCTACCAGACGTGAAAACACGGTCGAGTCACGACAAGCGAACGTGCCTCAACATATTTTAATTTGAGTCGATTACTGGTCGAGTCATTAATTTAATTTACATCGCGTGTACAGCGTTCTCCTCTTTCAGTTCTCCTTCTATTGTTGTTTGTATTAATCGAGGTAAAGGCTGCACAGCGAATATTAATCGATACCAGTCGGTGCTAGGCGTCGCGATCCAGCGGTACATCAGGCTGAGTGCGAATGCATATATACGTGAATAAATTCAACGTGGAGTTTTCGAATTTGCTGGGAAAGAGCGAAGCATTATCATGAGATACGTCGGGGCGCTCGATGTTGGTACCACTACGGTGCGTTTTCACATCTTGAATGAGAAGGCGATCACGGTAGCTTCTTCAGTAGAAAAGGTTTGTTACAAAAAATTCCCTATAATAAACTCGGATGATAAATTGTAAATGTGAATTGGAAATTTATGTATTCGAATTTAAATATTCCACATGATTCAACTGAAATTGAAGCTAATTATATAATAATTTATGTAATTTTTGGATCCCACGAGAGATTATGAAAGATAAAGATCAAGAAAGATTTAGATATCATTTTTAAAAATCCGATATCACTTATCATTGTCACGCACAATTATTTTATGATATAATACATACACATAATATACAATATTTTACACGAATAGAAATTAAAGTGAAATATATTTCACTTTAATTTGTTTTAATGAGACGCTGAAATAAGATTGTTAAGTTGGAATTAATACTAAATCAATGACATATTTGCGTCGTATGTAAAATATTTAGCGCGTCTGTAATTAATAATCTTACGCTTATCAATAATTCATCGAATGAGAAATGAACGAAAATAATTTGTTTGTATCTCTCTTTTTAATGTTAATCTCAGTTTTTACATACATACGTCGTTTACTACATGAATAACAAATCTTACAAAAAACGCGCAACACACTTGTTTTTTTTAACTACGAGACAATAATAATATCTTTTACGATGAGTTTGCAAAGGACTTTGTGCAATGACGTCAACGTAAATAATAACAGAATTCATTTCCTGTCAGGGGCATGAAAAATTATCTCTGTAATTTTAAGCGGTACGGTCTTGCTATTTATCTCTAAATTATCACGAAACATGATAACATTCTCTACCAAGTATAAATAGATCTATGAAAGTTGTGTGTGTGCGTATTCCGCTGAAGGAAGGATGTCTTTTTTTAAGTAAATTGACTACAGTTTCTCTCAAGTGAAAACATTATCACTGTAGGCACAGAGAAAAGCGAAAGGAAATATAATAAGATAGTACGCTTTCAAGGTTATTGCGGTTACTGCAGTGTTGCAGTGTAAAGGTGCTTCTTAGTATGTCCCGCGGACTAAAGTCAGATATAATCGAACTATACTAAAACATCTTAACGCAGACTATACTCATTTATAAATGCTGAATATTGATTGAAGTATACAAGGTCATGTTGTTATAAGAAATAGAATATTTTCAATAGCCATTTCCATTTCACACATGCCGTAAATTTCTTAAAATTTTTTAAATCATAATTAGTCGAATAGTAATTTATACCAATTTATACCAATCAACTCAATTTATACCAATTAACAAATATTTAAATAAATTGAGAAATATTTTGTTGTAAAGTGCATTATACATATATGATATAAATATCTATAAATTGATTGGCATGTATACATGATTGATTTTGAAATGTTTTTTAAAGAGATCGATAGATTAAACTTTTCCTTGATTTTCTCCTTTCTCAAATTTTTTATGGAATATTTCATTATTTTAGCATAATAATATTTATATAATAGTATTTATTAGTATTTATATAATAGTATGTAATTATATTACATAATAGTATTTAAGACTTATAAATTAAAATGTATACAATTTAAAACTTTTATTGATATTTTTCCTCGACGGCAAATGTTAAACTGCAATTTGAAAGTTATTATTAAGTAAATTAAGTTGATGACTAATTAAATATATGAAGTAAAGATAAAATAAAAATAAAATTTTCTGTTTCCAATTTAGGTAAATCTGATTTATCCAGAGCCTGGCTTTGTGGAGATAGATCCCGATCATCTATGGCAGATTATAGTAAAAGTAATCAAGGATACATTTGATCGTAAGTCATTAATAGCGTCATGTTTTAATTTAATAAACTCTTTCTTAATCAATCCTAAATAGAAAAAAACAAAGTCTATATGCGGTTTCATACATGTACAGACGGGGACACTAATGCCTTAACACTTGAAGTTACGCGATAAGAGAAGAACGCGTTTCTCATTGGAACGCGCTCTGAAGACGCGTTTCTGATTGGAATATGCTCGATATACTCGCAACTTCGAGTGTTAAGGCATTAGTGTCCCCGTCTGTACACATATCTGTCCTGCAACATCTGTAATTTCCAAAGGAGTGATAAATGAAAAGAAGTGTATAAAAATTTAGGATGTATTAATTGTTTTTGAGAGGCACGCGAATCTTCTTGAAACTTCATAATCTGGAATGGATGAACACAGAAAAATTTGGTTTCACGCATTTTCAGGAGACACATAAAGCTTCAATTTGAGCCGCGATTGATCTTAATTCTTCACTAATTATAGATAAATAAATCTTATTAATTTTATTATAGAGTTTATAAATGTAAATATTATAAATGTTACAAAAGATGGCTAATATGCTGAACTTTTCAATTTTTATAATTAATTAATATTAATTTGTAAATAAAATTATTGATTCATAAATTTTTACGTATAACGTCAAATATAATCAGTGTTGGCTTAAGTTGAATCTTTGGCTACTCATCGAAATTGTGGCAAACCTCATTTCTGTATTTCGAACTGTCTTTTCTAGAGATGTCCACCATAAACCGAGATGAACGCCAATCGGATGCATCGAAAGTAAGAAATTAATAGATGCTTGCTATTCATCTATGATTTCACTATTTCAATTAAATTTATATTTTCAGATTTTTTTGAAGTTGCATTTCATTTGATCAAACAAAAAAATTTTTTTTATTGATCTGATCTAATGACGGAATGCTTTTTCTTTTTCTTTAAATAAGAACTCATGCGAGTATCTTTCTACGCTGGTATATCATTTCAAATATTTAGCTATGTCACCTATGCTTTACACAGAGCCATTTTTGTTCACAAAGAGAAATTTAAAAATAGATATGAAGAAAAAGTAGAGATATATATACATATCTTAGCTTTGGTTTCTGCCGTTCGTATGTGACTGACTGATATTCTTTATATATTTAGCTTATTTTCTGTTTTATCTCACAGCTTAATATTTCTCATGCATAACGCAATTAGAGCAAGTCGCTTTATTTATGATTGCAGATAGTGGGATCGACCTGAAAGATATCGCTTGCATTGGAATTTCGTCGCAACGCGCCAGTTTTATTACTTGGAATTTGAAAACTGGAAAATACTATCACAGGTAAGAGTGCCACACAAAAAAAACGCGACGAAGAATAAAGATATTTTGCTTTGAACGAAATTTCATGATTACGATTGTTGTTTCAGGTTTATAATATGGAAGGATCAACGAGCGGCCAACTTAGTCGAGGAATGGAACCGGTCGATAACGATGAAGGGTTTAAGACTGGGCGCGGGTCTCTTGTACACATTTACAAGAAGAAAACGATTTCTGGCAGGCAGCATACTGAAATTTATGAACGTGCAGGTTGAGATGCTTTACCAGTCAATTTTCTGTCTGTAATCTCGATCATGTTATATCGTCGTATTTTATCAGACTTTTATTAACATAATTTTGCAAATTATGACTTAATAGAACTAGTAAATCTGTTCAATAATTTTTAAATAATTATTGGTGGTCTAGAATTATTATTTACTTCTCTTTGATTTGCAGGTAACCTTAAAATTAGTGTGGGCTCTCCAGAATGTACCGGGTCTCCGAGAAGCTGTGTCTAATAATGAAGAAGTGGCAATTGGAGGTGTGGATTGTTGGCTCTTATATAAATTAACAGGTAAAACAATATTTTGCATTTTTCTTTTAAAGTTACTATCGTATCTTACAATTTTCATAACAGCGTTAAATGATATTTCTCTCGTAAAACTTTATATGTATATGTAATAATTATTCCATAACAGTTACTGTTTATAAATGTTATATATAACACAAATCTCTTCTTATAATAAAAATAACGGTAATAGTAATAATATTAATTTTTATTCGTTATATATTATAGTCGATTGATAGTTGATTTATTTATTATAGGAAAGCATATAATGGATGTTTCAAGTGCCTCAGCTACTGGTATTTTTGATCCATTTACAATGGAATGGGCCAGTTGGGGGTTAAATATTTTAAAATTGCCTCAAAGTATTTTTCCCGAAGTAGTTGATACAGCAGGCGATTTCGGAGTTACACCTAAACACATATTCGGAGTTGAAATTCCAATTTGTTGCTCAGTAAGTAATTTAATATAAGCAAATCTTTGTTTAAAAATATTTAATGATGAAGAGATTATAGTTAATTATTAAATACACATTATACACGAATGAGTTATTCCGAAGTTAACAAGTTCCTTTAATCCTAATAATATCTCGTTAAAATTAGATGGCCGACCAAGCAGCATCTTTATTTGGTTCAGGATGCTTTAAGCCCGGCGATCTCAAGGTTACTATGGGAACAGGTACTTTCGTGAACGTTAACACAGGACAAGAACCACACGCATCCGTTGCTGGTAATTTTGCAAATTTATATTCTATATCACAAAGAATTTACTAATTTTAACAAATATAACAGAACTTAAATTGAAAAATTATTACTAGGACTTTATCCAATTGTCGGATGGCGAATCGGAAAAGAATTAGTATATGTTGCAGAAGGAGCTTCACATGACACTGGTACACTAATTGAATGGGCCAAATCAATAGGTAATTTATTAAATTTTCAATTATTAAGATCTATATATTTATATGATATTATATATCAAAATTGCAAATTTATTTATATGTATAAGTCATATTAAATTATCCAAGATAATATTAATATTATTATATAATATAGTATAATTTATAAATGTCTATTTCTTATAAAATATGTACACGTAGATTTTTGAAGTGAAAAAAAAAAATTTTATTTTTCTAAAAGAAATTCTCTATTCATTATTTATATTCATATCACTATTATATTATTTTCTATTTATAATTTTGTAGGTATTGTAAACAATGTTTCGGAAACATCCGATGTGGCAAACTCAGTCAATGATACCGATGGAGTATATTTCGTTCCGGCATTCAGCGGATTGCAAGTAAGTTTATTAGAGTAAATTATCATACATTTTTCAATAATATTTTAAATATGAGACTATTATATAAAATTAATTCTTTCATGCAAGAAAATATCTGTTTTTGTAATTAAATTTAAAAAATTTATTTTTAAAACTTCCTTATCTATAAAAATTATAAAAAAAACACTACATATATTAAAAAACTATATGTTACATCTTTTAATAACAAATATGTGTAAATATATAAAAATTATTGTAATTTCTACTTAAACTAATATTTGAGAGATATTTTTACTTTTATTATATAACATTTAGAAAAAAAGAATACATTGAAGAATATAAAACATAATTAATTATAAGATAAAAATTGATATATTACGCAAAAATATGTAACTATATTATACGATGCATTGCTTGTTTTAGGCTCCTATAAATGATTATACAGCTGCAACCGGTTTTTTCGGCTTGAAGCCTACCACAAAAAAAGAGCATATTATTCGATCTTTATTGGAAAGTCTGGTTTTCAGGATACAGTTACTTCATGAATGTTTGTGCAAGGAAACATCTTTCACATACCGAAGAATAAAGTAAAAATCATACCATAATATAATAATACTATGATATAATTAAAAATTTATAACAAGTTAGAAATTTAGACTCGGCCAAGGCGTTACGTGACATAAAATCACTAGAACATATTATAAAAATTTTAAAGAAAATTTAATGTCAAAACGTTTCGACTGCACAGAGTCTTCCTCAGTTGAAATAAATAGATCGGAAGAGCACACG